GGGGTTCGTAATCCATACCTACTTTGATTACTACATGACACCACCTCGGAAATACCTCCTCTTAGGCACGTTACTGCAGCTTATGCTCATATCGAGAAATGGTATATTGGCGTATGATGGTTGAATATGCAAGTATTCTGTTGTCTCATTCAATGTTTTATGTGTAGGAAATCCATGTGTTGGGTGTCCGTTATACTCGATGTGTAGAGATAAAATTCATTTATCAGCCGCATTGTTGTGTTGAGTATCACAGTATATAAACTTTACGCGAATCACCGTAGCCTTGACCAAAAAAGAGTCGATAACCCAATAGTCCAGTGGTATCACAAAGTTCATGAATCACCCCAGCAATTTTTTTCCACATATGAGTGAAAGTTCGCGAACTTCTTATGCCCTTTTTGAGCCAGCTTTGCATTACTTATTCTCCATTGAAAGGGTTCGCTTTTGGTTTCTCCACTCCTGTTCTTTAAAATAATAAATACTTGATTCGATACCAATGAGAATATGAAAAGTGCCAACACCGGCCGAAAAATGAAGTCCTCCTCTATGTGAAGATGTAACTTTCACCTAACTGCCTTTAAAAGAGTCTACCAAAGGCCCTTGAAACCTTATCTTAAATGCTTTTACAATATTGTTTTTTTCCAACCCAATGACACATCTACTTACTATGGGACTCGCGTGTTGTTTCTATCGATAGAGAAAACTTATTCAAAAAATCAAACTGCAAGAACTATCGATGTTTGTTGAATGCAACCGATTAACCTAGCTGGTCTTGCCAGGGTATTCGGTCATTACGGGTGTACTACTTAGACTATCTCTTTTTATTCTTTTAAGCAATCAATTGGATACCAATAAGTTCCTCGATTGTCTTGCTTGAAACACATTAGGTTAGGTTTTTACGAGGCAACTTTCACTGACGAGGTGTGTGTAGTAATCGAAATAGGCACGGATTACGGATCAGGAATCACGGTCGCGATCGCAGCACAGAATAGCACTAGCAATCATGCGCTGGATTCTCCCGTCACTGAGACGCAAGAAAGAGGCCACGGAAGTAGCAGTTCCTTTATTGAGCCAATTCAATGGAATTAAATAATGTGTAAACAGAAATATCAGTAATCAGACTAAAATCAATATATCACCGCCCTTCGTCCTCGATTAGCATAGCTTATGTTTGAACTGTATGGCTGTTGAGTGATCGATACAGATGGTCCACGGTTGAAATGTACGGAAAATGGAACGCGTAGGCGCTTAGCTGTCGTCATTTCAGAGGCCCGACTCACCACAGTATGTCAATGGGAAATAAGGTGTGTGCAAAAGGCCACGTAACAACGGCAAACTGCAAGAAAACTCAAAACTTTAAAAATATGTCCAACAGGGCTATTACTATATTGACTCCGGCCAGTTCTGTAGACGAACATGTACGTGGCTGGCATTGAAATATGTTCAATACCCGTTGATTCATCCGAGCGGCGTTCTCTGTTAGATAAGCCTCAATGTTGGTTCCCAGGATGTATTGGTGAAGACCTCTAGTTAAAATGGTGTCATATAAGTGAATATATTGTGACTGTCCATCCCTCGGAATTCCTCTTCATGTTCAATCCTTAGTTCACACAGAGACGCCCTATCTGATCCGTTAGGAGCCTTAGGCTTCACAGCATTAGTTTGTAATGCTGTATTCTAGCCAAATCCAATTTAACGTTTACAGGATAGAGTTTCCTATAGGACCTAATCAGCCGTAAAGTGCTTCCCATTTTCGTACCTCACGCTTCATTTACCTTACATACGACAGAATCCCTTAACATAAGATGTCATGAAGCTTTAACCAAAGGATTGAAACACCTTTGGTGCAGACGCGATGTTTTGTTGAAACTGAAAGGTCGTGTATACTGCGCCAGTGTGCGGCCAGTTCTCCTCTATGATTGCGAGACCCTAAATTTGCGTATGGAAGATATTCGTCTTCTTGAAGTATTCGGCTGCAGATGTTTACGTGGTTTGGCTCGGGTTGGATGGAGCAAGCTTGTAAGCAACTATGAGGTGCGAGTTCGCGTATTGGGTATTGATTCGATGGAGAATTCGTTGGCACCATCGAATTCAGGTTAGTTGGCTTCGCTGGTTAGGACACGTATCGCGCATGCTCAGCCATCGTCTGCCGCAACGCGCCTTATTCGCAGTTGCGGCTCCCGGTTGGAAAAAACCGCGTCGTGATCAACAGATGACGCAGAAGCGAGGCATGAAGAAATGCACGGAGCGATTGGGTAGAATCGGTACCTCCCGTCTTCCAAGTTGGGGTTTGAAAGAACAGTTACTACCTGATTGGAGACATTAAAGGATATGGCGACTAACCGGCACCAGTAGCGTTCTTCTTCTCATTAATTAACAAGTCAGAATGCTTGAAAAAGTATGTATGAACACCTAAATTGTGTAACCTGTGAAAGGAACTTAGAGGTTGTTTTCTTTGACTACCTCCAAGGAGGCACAATCCCTCGCCATCCAGTTCATTATCATTTGAATCGTGTAAATTCTGAGCTTCATGATGATGATGATGGTGATGATGATGATGACGATGATGATGATGATGATGATGATGATGATGATGTATTAGTTGCGTTATTGCACGATGCATTTCTGTAATCAGATCACCACATCGCAACTAGTGCTTACATAAGGTAACTCGATTCATTTTTTGCATCACACTGAATCCTAAATAAGGGAAGCAGGAAACCATCTGATAAATTACCGAGGTAGCGTAAAGTCTGTTGGCGCATGTTGGGTTTCCATTGGTTGATCGCTTCCCTCTCGACAATTTGCAGTAACCGTTAACTTTTGACTCATTTTGAAAAATTTATCGCTATCGTTCTGGTAGCGTGTTACTAATATAGGCATCGCGATTGACAACTCGTGGATTTTGTACATTGGATTCGTGTTCCGTTTTGGTCGTGTAAAATTCCTTTTGCCTGACTCACCCATTTCGGATATGCTCGGTCGCTCGGTTGAGTAACCTTATCTCTGTTCCACCGACTCGTATATGCGATTTCAATATTGATGTGAGAAGTTGTCACTTTGAGGTGAGAAAGAAACGCGAGTTGGAACCACGTTCCTTCAGCGTGACTCAGTAGTCAGTTGATCACACGTTTTTTCTATCCCCTTGATCCACCATCTGTCTT